GAACTGACTTATTAGGAGCTAAGCTATCTAGACACACACTACAAAGAAGAGCTTTCAAAGATAAGCTGTTTCCTGGGGTTAATGATAAGATGGCAGGAGAGACAAGTGGGATGTTGACTGTACCTAATTTCAGCTAATCATTAATCTCCCAGAGATATCCGGTATGCCTTGATAGTCCTGGCTGTTATGAAGTGCAAATGAAAGAGAAATGAACTTTTGCACCCCCACCTTCTGAGTAGGCATGGTTTCACTTTGTGTGAAAAAACAGAGGGATTAATAGTCTGCATGTTAGCTTGTTAGTTTGCTCGGTAAATCTCCTCATACCCTCTTCTGCCCACATTTCTGAAATCTATTTTCTCCCCATTTCTGACTAAAATTGCCAAGTTTACACCACATTACACATTCATCTGACCCAGAGAAAACTATTCTTCTTAGTTTCTGATGCTCTTCTGTGCTGTACAGTCCTTAAGGAAAACATTTATTAGCTCATGATATGCTAGCTGCCTACCATCTTCAGTGGCTCTGCATATCCCCATGTACTTTCACTCCTTGTGCCTAGCTAGTATGTTCTCCCTCTTTCACAACTTCTCTTTTGAAGTGTGTGAACAGTCAAGAATGACAGCTCTCTTCCAATGAAGGCAGGAATTTAAAAATTCTCAATGCTGCACCTGACCATTATACTCACCTGGAACAGGTTTCTCTAGAAAAAAAATTAGTAAGGCCCATTCATTATTTCAACTGAACTCCTATTTTGCTTCCTGTTCACTTCTTTTCTATCATTTGTATTTATCAATTTTATGTTTAGACTCCTAGAAAAGAGATGATCTTTGTAGTGAAGGCAATTACTCTACTTGCAGGAGTTTACTTGCTTGATATGGCCTTAACCCTTTTTCACTCAAACATGGCTATGAATTGCAGTCTCGAGGCATCACTGAAACTAAGTTACAAGTTCTGGATCTCTAAACTGTTCTGCAAATTTACAGCTGTAAATATTTAATATTCAATATTAAAAATGAAGGGCTTTCCTGCCTGAACAGCCACATGAACAACTTCAAAACTTCCACTTGAAGTTCAAAGGCACTACTTTCTCTGCATGAAAGTAAAAGAAGAAAGGCTGGGTGGAAGCTTGAGGCATGACGACACCCCGCAAGGTAAAAATAAAATCAAACAAAAGATAAAACAGCCCTGACAGTCACTGGAACAAGCTAAACACTGAATCAGCAATTATTTCTGAATTGCTTATCCTGTTCCACATTGTGCAACTGGTCTGCAAGACTTACCGGGCAGGCAGCTCACGTATCTGATTGTGGCCAACATCCAACACTTCCAGTTTCCTGCTGTCACACACCCACTCAGGCAGGTTTTCCAGGTGATTTCTATGAATAAAGAACACAAAGCGATGCAACTAAATGATAATCAAGATGTAAAGGCTATGAAGTATAGATCCTCAAGGGAGATACAGATACCTGCAGGAAACAAGTCTGCTACATAGCATATTTTCTATGACATTGTATCATCCCTCCTTCTGTAAGGGCACTACCAGTGCAGTCAAGTCCTGAGTGAGGGGGGCAAGAAAACTAACAGCATTATTATCTCCCTACATGGGCAATCACTAAGAAAATAGAAGAAAATGCTTCCAAATTATCATGGAAGCATCAAGAGTATCAAAATACCAAAAATGAAGTCTTTCCTCAGAGAAGAAAATTTCTGAAAAGATATTCACACCCTACACAGTCGAAACATACCTCTTTGATCTCTCATAAATTTAATCCCGAAATCCACTCTATCATTCTTCAGCTATCTCACTGAATAGAACGAAATTTTTTTGGTGTATTTTTAAAGCAAACTGTTTTGCTTTTCTTGTATTTATCTTCACAGAAACTAACCCTTCTGAAAATTAAGGAGGCAAGTTTTTCCAAATACTGCACTGAAAACGCACTGATAGGCAACTCTGGGGCACTCCTGTATCCTGCCTTAAAGACAAAAATTAGCTACAAGATACACAGAGGAGATTGTGTGCATAAGCCTTCACATAACCACGATTTCAGTCAGCATACACAGAAGCAAAACTGATCATCAAATAATAGTCAGGCACGCTCAGACCTGAAGTTCAGGAATTACAAAACATGAACATAATCATGTACTTGTATCCTTTAGTTTATTCCTACAATAGTCTTTAACTAAAATATGCAATAGCAACCCAATCTCTCTTCTCAGATAGCTTCCTTTCTGATCTCAAGCAGATTTCCCAAATTCCAAGCAAGTCAAAAAGCTAAAGACACTCTACCCATTTAAGTTTCAATGCCATCACTGAAATGAAGCACAAAAAGGGGTTTGTGATCAAAATCACACATTCTATACCAATTTCACTTACAAGTGTAAATGGAGAACACAGTTCTACAAAGATCGCTTTTCAACAGACCACTTATTCAGTCACACCACTGCGTTACATTTAAGTGCACAATGTGGGTAACTCAGGGTTGACGAAACTTTGAAGTTGATGGCCACTAGCCCAGGTTAACTCACTAATAGTTATGATCATCCGCAGTAGCTTGAATGCTTTAAGCAGGATTTTTAATGAATGAGATTATTACTTCAAATGCAGATGAGCAATTTCTTAAATAAGACAGCCATTAAGCACGTGTATAAATGTTTTCCTAATTCAGTCCTGAAACTGTAAAGCAAACTAAAACACTCCCTTTTCCATTTCTTCACTTATCCCACCTTCCTCATTAAGATGAAATTTACGTATGCCTTCAAATGGCAACTGCAGACATCTCTGCAGCAGCCAGGGCTGCGGAGAACAACGATGAGCTGCAGGAGCTGCCAAACTGATGAGTAAACTATCAAACCGTCACCTACGCTGAGCTTACGATGCAGACATATCCAGAAAGTAACTCCTGCACGTGTCTCAGATTGGTTTATGTTTGAATCATAGACTTATAACTCTGTAAGATAGGAAATATTGAAATCATGGGAACTCTTCTCCTCTAACCACCAAGGCACATTTTGCCTTTGGCAGCTAAGAAAAAAAAAAGAAAAAAAAAAGGAATCTATAAAAATGAGCCCATGCTCTCTGCTCTAACTCTCAAAATCAGTCTTTTCACATCCCAAAGTCCAATTCCTGCCCCTACTCCCACTCAGTAAGATACCAGTGAATGTCATTGTTCCATAAGAATGTTAGATGTACATTTCACAAATCCAAGAAAAAACACAGTCTTACCTAGAAATATCCATATAAGCCAGGCAATTAGGAACTGGATACACATCGAGGTGAACAAGTTCTAGGGGAAAAAATATATATAACAACAGAAGCGGTGATAAAGATTTGCACCTAACTGACTGTTCCACAAAAATTACTTTAAGAGCTAACACTGAGATATTTCAGAGCAAGCCAATAATCTAAGAAACTTCTGAAGATCTGGACCCCTGTGAACCCAGTTCTGTTTCTTTACTGTGTCTTAGTACATTTGCTCTAGTACAATGTACTTGCTATGACAGAAACTGCATAACTGATCAGACTGGAGAAACTGGAGGATTTTAAAAGTTTAATGGCAAATTCTCATTTTTCCATTTTTGTCACAGAACTGTAACTTCGCTTCCACTGCCCTCTGCCCAGAGGAGTCAGTCAGAAACCTGCCCTACTTTTTTTCACCGGTCACTAGTGGTACAGACATGGGAAGGAAAACTCTCCACTCTGGAACAGCAAGTTACAGGATACCATAGAATCCTCTAGGTCATGGCAAGATCCAGAGTATTTTTCAACACATTACATGAGCCTTTGCATGCCTGTGGAGTTCCCAGTTGCAGGCAGCCTTATAGACTTTTCATAGCACCTTGACTACTGCTAGCAATGTTATTACTGAAGTAATCAAAATACAGTTCATAACCTAAGGTTTTTAGGTAGCTAATACTTAGTATTAAGGTTAAGAAAAACCCCACACATTTACTTAAGCCTACAGACAAATGCACTAAAATGAAACAGTAACAAGCATCATGGTTTCTTCGGAAGATGAGACTAAAACAAGGTGGTTGAAAGTGCAAAGAGAGGATAACCACAACAGGAAGACCAAATAGGTAGTTTATTGCAAGGTATGGGTTGACTTGGATTCTCAGTCCACATTGAGCAGTACATGCTCAGATTATCTTAACTTTTCTTAGCTACAAAGATCCTGGCATGAATACCTAATGAAGGCACAGGCTTGGATATCACTAAGATGACAGCCTTTTAAAGGTAGTTCAGATTGTTTATCAAATTCATAGCTCTCTGAGCTTGCATTTTCTTTATTCCATACCAAATTACTCCAAGCAATAAAAAATGGTGGTGCAAACTGAGTATTTTAAGTAATAGGAGTTTCCAGAGACAGATCAAACAGATGCGATAAATGAAACATAGGAGCTATTCACCTGGCATTATTTTTATTATCCAATACAAATTAAGTTACTCATGGATTTTGTAGCTTTCTGCCCAGAGTAGGGAGCAAGAAGCAGTAACAAAAAACATATATTGTTTTGATTTGTCTCACAAATGGCCACTTATTCAAACTTTCTCAATGCAGGGAAAAGCAGTTAATTTCTTATTGGCTGTAGTAAAGCAACACATTAATAAACCAAAGCAAATGACAAACTCAAGAACCCTCCCTACTGACACAGAGAAGAATTTCAGCCCAAACTATAAGGTTTTTACAGTTTTTAGACCTCTAAATCAGTAGCCCAGTGTTATTTGACAGTCACTTCTGAAGCTCAGAACTGCCAGTAGCATTACACAGTACATGTGACACCCTTTTATCCAGGGTAATGTCAAGAGCGTCCTGATTATGAGCACTGCACTCCGCAATCATCCCAGAGAGAAACAGGTATGAAAACAGAAGTCAGATGACAACACTGCAGCTGCCCTGAAAATGCACTCACCATTCGAGGAAGCATACAGCGCTTTGAGAAAATATCCACTGATTTTGAGGGTTACCAGTTGATTCCTTTCACAGTGTAATACTTCAACGTTGTTAAAAACTGTTGCATCCAGCTCCCCAAGTCTGTTGTCTCTCAGATCCAGTTGGGTCACGTGATGCAGAAAATCTACTTCATCAGCCTCCAATCTCCTAATTGAATTCAATCTTGCAGACAAAAAAGGAGATTAGGTGTAGTTGCGTGGCAGGTTCCTGCTGACAAACCAATGCTCACTCTAAAATAAATCGGTTGCACTGCATTAAACTAGCACACTTTCAGGTTCTGATCAAGGTTGACTTTTAAGATTTTCCCTCTTGTTACGGTATTTCAAAACCAGGATGGATCCACTCCATTGCTTTATCCATCATGACAAAGGAATGATGACACCAAGCTCCTTTCTAAACTACTTTGAAAACTACTTATGAAAAGCTCTGCAAGGAGCTAAGTATTATTGTTACTGTGTCTATAAAAATAAAAGATGATCTGGCTGTTATTTATGCCCAATAGCTTGGAAAAGAACAAAACCTCTACAGTTCCTCCTGCTCTATCATGAGCATGTGCTGGAAAAGCCTGCAGATATTGGAGACTCTTGCCTTACTGAAAACCCAAATTGAGATTTATGAATTCCCATACACTTGCTTCTCGCCTCTCCATGTTTCACACCAAGCAAAATACAGAAACCTAAAAATGGGTGTTGAATGAAAACAATGCAAAAACCCAAGACAAGTGGGTCTGTCAGATAAAAAGGACAGATTTTAATCACATCTTCACTGCAGTGCATTGACACTGCCAGTACTCAGCAACTTCCCCAGAAGTTACAACTGAATGAAATTATCTATAACCCAGCAATGTTTGAGTCTGTAGAGCACTCCAGAGAGTTCAAATTCCCAGCTCTGAACAGAACACTAAAATCAGTATACTAACTTCTGTTGGTCCACTAAGCCAATTGAGGATAAGCCAAGGATAAATACCTACAGTTCTGCCGTTGCTTTTGATTTGAAGAGTTGCCTTCTGTGTAACAGTTGTGTTTTCAGAGTAGCTTCATCTTTCAGATAGAAGCTTTCTGGGTCAGGGACTATCACCTATATTATATTAACACTGCAGCAACAAGAACTGCAGGAATCACCAGCGTCCCAGGTTGTGTTTTTTCTGACCTTTTGGTGCAAACATTATTTCCCCCAAAACTCCTCTCCCTACCTACTGACCACCCTAAATGCTTCCACTTCCTCAGAAAAGACTGCTAAGTCATGGCAAGTGCTGCAAGTTACATAACACCACCAGAAACATGGTTCAGTGAACTAACACAAGAGATTCATACCCAGGCAAGGAGAAGCCATTTCATCATCAATAATTTAGACTCACTTATTCTTCCCCTTTTCCTAATACCTACCTTAGGTCCACATGTTTAATATGAGGCATCCTTTTCAACACCTGTAGGTTCAGGGTGTCCATGCAGTTTCCTGACATACAAAGCTTATCCATGGCAGTCAGCTTCTCCAGCACGCCCGGAATGTCAGTGAACTCATTGAAGGACAGACTCACATAGCTGAGCTGATGCATATGCTCCAATTCATCAGGAAGGGACTGGAGAAAGTTGCCATCCAGCAAAAATGTCTGCAAGCTATTAGAAGTGGGGGAGGGGAAGGGAGAGTGAAGAGTGACCTGTTAAATCACATTTCCTTCCTATAAACACACAAATCTGCTGCAGTTACAGTGACATACAATAGAAAAAAAAAAGAGCCGAAAGAAACATGTTAAAAGTATAACACTTTAACACCCGCCACAGAAGATATACACCAAATAATTAAAAGCTTTGGCAACTATGAAATGTAGGCTGTGTTAGTTGTATCTTCAAACATCCCCAGAACTGCAACTTGCATATCAGCTGAAGCACATAAGCAATGAAATTTAAAGATTTTCTTCACCATGAAGGTGACCCTTGTGTCAAATGCTGGGGAGGGAAAGAGCTTTGAAGCACAAAGCGTGCTTTCCCTCCATCCACAACTGCTTCCATATGGATCTACAAACCAGTTTGCTCTGAGAACACCCAGTAAGTTTAAACTGTTTCTCCTAGCAAGAGTATGTAGAGTTATGAAACTGCTTGTTGCCCTTATTATCAGGCTGCGTATGTTAGGTTTTAAAAGAGTACTTGCTTGTGCATCTCGCCTACAACTGCTGGAATGCTTCTGAGGGCATTGCAGGACACGTTGAGTTCAGTCAGAGTTGGGATACTGCAGACTGCCAGTGGGAAGTCTCCTAAATTATTATTGGAAAGGTTAAGGCTCTTCAACTTTGTGAATCTATAATAAGATAAGAAAAAATAAAAGGAAACAAGTAAGTAGTTGCCTCACAATGATTACTACAAGGCAAGTTTGGTTATATGAATGCAAATAACATGAATTTTTTAGCTTATACGCTCAGAACAGCCAGAGAAATTACCAGACACTCAAGTTCAACACCCCTTGTAAGAAGTGTTCTCACATTAAGCTGGCACAGAGAAACAGGCCCTCCTGAACAACACATTAAATACATTTTCCAGTGAGTGTAACAAAGAACAACCCCCTTGCTGTTCTTATGATATATGCCACTTCTGTGGCATCTCACCCTGTACTAAAACACCGCTATTTTCCTGAACACCTATTTTGCTAGTAAAACTATCATTGTGACACAGTTACAAGGTGTGGGAAATTCTCAGTCTATTCAAACACTAAATTTTTCTAGTGCTGCTCAGGTCCAGTCAAGTTTGCCTTTCAACCAAAACTTCTCATTAGAATAGACTGGTTTGAACACAACTGGGAAATGTGCTGAATTAAAACAGATTTAGCAAGGCTTCTGTAGTGACAAAGGCAAATTCTTATGCTCTTGATTAAGTGCAATGTCAAAGCTTGCACAGGTGTCAAAATTTTGTCCTTGACATGTCACAGAACTCTTAAAAGCCCCTTGGTTTATCACATCAGCCAACAAAGCAACTTGCATGTGTTTGCCTTATTAAAAATGACCAAAACCATTTGAACAAAAACCCCAAGAAGGGGACAATCCAATTAGCCAGCCTGCATGTTCAGCAACACTATTATGGTTGCCTGACAACCACTGGGAGGTATGCCTAAAGGCAAGTAAAAGGATGAATGAAAAGATCTGTGTTAGATTCTGATAGACGGGAGGAAGTTTCTTTTCTGGCACAGTTTATACCAGGCCATTTTATTTGGACTTAATTTTCCCTTCATTAAGGCTCAAGTCGTTTATTTGCGTGAGCAGGCTTTTACATAACTTGGCAAGGGAAGCAAAACTGCACCTATGAGTGCTGCTATTCCACATGAAAGTAATCTCCAACAGCATGTGCCCGTGCATCCATAGCCTCTGCATCAGCCTAGCACATTCTTACCTCAGAGAACTTTGTCCTCCGACCAGAAAACACAGACAGAAAATGCGTCAAGCATGAAAAGGTTAAAGAGTTTTAACAACAAAGACTTAAAAATCCCTAGCAGCTACTGCAATCAACTAGCATGCACCTTTAGCATTGTCTAAATCAAACTCACGTTACTGACCAAAATTCAGTGTGAAAACGTAAGCAGCGCCTTCCTACCATATTTCAATGAGGGTTTTTGAGCCCCAGAGACAGGTTGTGAACACACATAACAACATTTACACGTTTGCAGCAGGCAAGGGAATGCTGTACTCTCTATTGGTATTTTGGTGCAACCATGGCAGAAGAAAAAAAAAAGAAATATCATTGCCAGAGTTATCACAGATTTTGAACACCCTGTGCCATGCTGGAGGCAGAAGTCTGGAACAGAGATGGAGACTTAAAGAAATCTTGCAATCAAATTAGTGTTGCAGGGGGAAAAGTGCCACTGTGCAGAAACAATGACTAATCTACCTCTAAAGGCAGAACTGTAAACTAAAAAGGAGGCTAGGGTAAGCTAGCTGATATTAGTAAGGGTTGCTAGCCAGAAAAAAAAAAAATGTTTTCAATACCACACCTTCACATTCCTCTATTTTGAGAGAAAAGGCTTAAAAATCTTGAACCTAGAACTGAAACACACAATCCCACATTTATCTTGAAGACAACTGTAGATTTAGGCCACAGATATATTGCCTTGAAATTTGGGTTGTTTCTGCAGTGGAACAGCTGTCCCACATCTTCCTCAAAGTGGACTCCGAGGCTTTTAGAATTATTTCTTTTCCAGTATTTAGGTAAGTACAAAAATAGTAGTAAAGATTAAGGGCATATTAAGTCAAAATAATTAAGCTGCTGGAGAAACACCAAAATGTAACCTTTCAAATTTTCAAGTCAACCATGAAAATAGAATGAACTCATTTAACAATCACACCAAGGCCTTTACCTATGCTACTCTCTGGTCTCAAAAGGATAGTCTCAGGGATTTTGTACACTTAACAATCTAGTAGAAGACTTCAAATACAATCTTGAGATAAAATTACAGAAGATCAAAATAATAGAGCACTGGGGCAATGGGTGGTAAAGGAAGCTAAGAAATATAATAATTAACTGCAATGCAGTGTCCAGCTTCAAGTTTTTCTGCATACATTCTAGTTTAACTGTCCTAGGTCAAAGTCAGAGGCAGGGGGAATCTCCCCCTCCCCAGTGTATCTGTATTACATCTCTACCACCCTAATGTATGTTGTAATGTGTGCTTATTAACAGTCTTCTGTGGGTAATCTAATTACTAAGGACACAAACGGAAGTAGTTAACAGTTCCTTGCAATATGTAAGAGAAGATGAGTGAGTACATCCAGTATTGGATAACCCAAACAAAAGCTGAACAACGTGTACATCAAAAAATCCACAAATTAAAGTTCATTGTTAAACCACATTTAAGAAATGCTGAAAGGCAGACACCACAAGCTTAGTTAAAGTTAAGAGAATAATATAAGACATCTGTCCAGAAAGAGATATTTTCTTCCTCTGTTATAAACACATCCATCTACAAAATGCTAAAGCCACATTTCTTCTCATGGAGCACTGTCAAGTACAGAACATTACTGAGCCAAACTAGCAGGCATTTGCTCAAAGTTAAGATTTAAACCTACTTCTCATCTTTGGCCACTCACTTCCAACTATCTACATGGCAAATGGGCTGGTGCGCCTCCATTATGGAGCACTGCCATGCTGCACATTTAAGATGCTGAATTGGTTATAGCACTCCTTATACCTACACAGATTTAGTCAGTCATGCCAGTATCACTTGGTAGCATCAATATAAATAAGGTAGAAGTATTTTACAGAGTCAAGTTTTCTGTTGCTGCTGAGTTTGCAAAGTGTCAGGTTTTAAACAGACTTTACAGAGCACTATCTTTGCTGTTTTCTCACATCCAAATCTTTACTCCTATCAGAAGCAGGGACATGCATCGACACCGCTCACGTGGCATTGCTAGAAAGAAGAAAGGGCACAAAATTGCTCGTTTGAGGCACGACAGTAAATTAGCCTCCTATCATGTCCACATATGCTTTCCTTCCTCTTTTCCCTGTTTCCCTGATTCTAGACTTGTTATTTGTTAAGGAAAGTCAACTTCGAGAACAGCATCTCTCTAGACACTATGCTCAGTTAGCTTACTAAGTTTTCCATTATAATGACCAAAATATAATCACTCACTTCTCTGAGCAAAAATAGCCCTACTTTAAAATGGCACAAAATGTTGACATGCCAAAGCTTGGGTTTAAACATGCAATATGACTGAACACTAATTGCCATAATTGAGCCAAAACCTGCCCCTTTACTTAATCCCTAAGCTGCCACTTCAGCAGTGGCTTTAGTTTGACATACACAAAATGAGGAGAGGGAATAACGAGAAATTTGTATCACAGCAAAGCAGTGAACTGACTGACAAGCTAATTTCAAATTCAGACCTACCCAATGAGAACAGCAGAGGAATTTCCATTACACGGTACAGCATTTGTGTTCCACTAGGTTTGGAGTGAGGGGAATAGTATATTCAAACTGGTCATACCCAGTCACTGAAATGCAGCCATAATAGACTCATCTGACAAAACTGGTCTTGCTGTACTCTTACCAAAAAGAATTAAAAAGCAGTATTTTACTACACCTAAAAGAGAAGACATGGTTTCATAAGGGACAGTCTAAGGAAAATCACTTTTCCAAAGCTATCTCCAGTACCTGGGCTATCCCATGACTATGCTGTGGTTACATTTTAAAGCAGCAACACAAGCGTCCCTCACCACTTTTAAGCAAAACTATGGCATTTACCTAGCAGTGCTGTGACAAGTTTTGGAACTGAACTACCGTTTGCCACCTTCTTGAACACCTGCTAGTTTGGCCACTAACATAATGATGAAGAGTTTTCATAAAAACCTGACACACCAATTTCCTCCTTGGAAATAAAAGGTGCAATTTACTCCCTTTTTGCAGTTGCGTCAGATTCCCCATGCACGGCCTTATTGCCTAAAGGAGCAGCTAGCCTAGTGCCAGAAATACTGTCTTAGCATTTCCCTTCCCAAAAGGTGTCATTGTAAAAGCCTTAAATTAGTAAGACAATTAAAATGAACTATTTCAGCCCTCTTGCCCTGCTAAACTTGTCATGGCAGCTGAATAGAGGTTGACTGTTTCTGCAACAGCTAGGGAGGTTCACCTGAATGCTTGCAGGTGAAGGCCTTGCCTAACTAAGGTCAACAGCAGCCCTCCCCAGCTTGGACACAGAACAGTCTTTGATAGATAATATGGAGAGGAGGAAGGAGGAGTTCTGCTGTTTACCACTCCCTTTCTCTGGAGAGAACTCCTGTTCATCCAGACACAAAGTAGCTCACGTCACACCACACAAAAACAGATGGAGTAAAGTCCATCTCAGGAAAGAGGGTCACTTAGCTTGAGGACAAAAATTGATTCTGGTCAACTCAGAAGAATCAGTTTCTTGAGCAGCTGAATGAATAAATGAAAACAGTTTATCTCATTTTTTTGTTTCCTTCTTCCTTTCTTAAACTCCATGGGGGGAAAAAGCAAAAGAGAGGAAAAAGCAGACTGCTAGCTGTAATTCTGGTATCTTCACTACCCTTTATGCTAACACACCTGATCCTATCATCATGATATTCCTCCCATCTACTTGCACATAAAACTATTAAAGGCAAAACAATTCTGGCAAACAGACTTGAGTCTATATACCAAAATTAATTGGTAGATTGTATTTAAAAAAAAAAAGGAAAAAAGACTGCACTACACAAAAAGGAATAATCTTAAATCTAGGCAGATATTTTTCAAAATTATTTTTTATATAATATTATCAAATGTATAATAATTATCAAATTATTATTTACAAATAATCACAGCCA